TTGAAACAGGAAGGAAGTAAACTTTGTAAAATACTTCATGGCTTCTTCACCATTTCTGTCTATCAATGGGATGTGTGTTGTGTGCATTGCCACAGATCCGAACAGCAGCATGCTGTATAAAGTTTGTATCAATGAACTATGCCCTGGAATAAGGGTTGAGAAATTACTGACCATTGGACGATAGGAGTGTGCAGCCTTTACCCCACAGAAGTGAATCACTTTTCCATTTAGAGATGACACAGAGATTACCACCCAAGGTCAAGATTTATTGTATATTTATTACCTAAGATATATGTATCACCCAAGATCAAGATTTATTATATATCAAGGAACTAGAAAAGTGAAGATCCGAAAAGGTGGGGCTGAAATAAAACATCATTTTTTGACAGATATTCAGATGACAAACATAAAGAAGTGACATAAAAAATCTCTTTTAATCAATAATAAAATGATTTGTTCTTATAGAATAGACACCCACTCTTAAAAAAACAGACACAAATGTATATCACGGGGCCCCAGTAAAGCATCAAGATAAACATCAGGTATTCACATGCAAAAGCAATGCCATGAGGTATAAAATCCCCTCCACTTTCCCTAAATAAATGGAAATACTCTGGTTATGCACCCTTAATACCAGAGCTCACCATGTGTTCTGCCCTTCTTCCATGTATTTTTCATGCCTTTTATTGAACTGCATTATTATTGTTTTTTTGTATGCTGATACCTAGTGGCAGTTTCAGGTCACTACTTGTTTACTAATGTGATTTTACCATCTTCCTCTATCCTCCCCTCCTGTTTAGTGCTAGTTAGTTTAGTCATAGCTAGACCCTCTCCATTTCTTACATGTTCCCTCAGTTAGTGATAATTATTTAGAGACAGGCAGGGCTGCTGTTAGGTTGGCTGCATGGGGCCCCGTGATTTCCAACAGGGCTCCGCCCCCAAAAAAAAAACAAACAACACAGTTATGAATGAACGAGTGATCGACACCGATCAGTTATTGTGTTCATTCAGGAATGGAAGGGCCTGGTAAATGTGACATATTTACCAGACCCTTCCCCCACCTCTCCGATTGTTACGGATCCTATTGTGAGCTTGCAGCTGCCGGTGGAAAGGAGAGCTGGGAAACCAGCAGCATTGCAGGGGTGGGGGCCTGTGCAGCAGGGGAAAACGTATGGTGCACAGGGAGGGTGATCAGGTGCATCTCTCTGCATCAGCTGAAAGCCAATGGAAGGAGAAGAGAAGAAGCTGGCTCTCAGCTGCTGCAGAGAAAGCCACACAGGGGCTTTAAACTTCTCCACAACTTTATCCCTGACAGCTGTGTTCCTTGGCCTTCATGATGCTGTTTGTTCACTAATGTTCTCTAACAAACCTGAGGACTTCACAGAACAGCTGTATTTATACAGAGATTAACTTACACACAGGTGGACTCTATTTACTAATTAGGTAACTTCTGAAAGCAATTGGTTCCACTAGATTTTAGTTAGGGGTATCAGAGTAAAGGGAGCTGAATACAAATGCACATCACATTTTTCAGACATTTATTTGTAAAATAATTTTGAAAGTCATTTATCATTTTCCTTCTACTTCACAATTATGTGTCACTTCGTGTTGGTCTATTACATAAAATCCCAATAAAATACTTTTATGTGGAAAATTTTAAGGGGTATTAATATGTTTTGAAGGCACTGTATTTACCTCCATTTACTTATCTGTGAACTGGCGGCAATTCTTTTAGAATCTGTCACAGCCATAGTGACAAAGTAAAAGTGGCTGCAGTAAGAACTACTGTACCTGAATCTGGCAAACATGTCAGTACTGGTATTGTAACAGGCACACAGTTTTCATAAATAAGGTGCAGGCCATGTAAAAGGGGCCATGCTGCCCGAAAAATTATCGCTTTACTGAATTCTGCACAATGTCGGTTGTTAGTAGCAACAGCTTGTGAATCAGGTTAGTAGAACTGAAATAAAGGCCATGCAGTGTTTTAGGGCCGATTCACATCTGTGGTGTGCGTTTTTGGTGCATTTACATACATTTTAGGCGCGGTTTACATACATTTTAGGCACATTACCATTGAACTGTGTCGGATGTGTGTTTTGATGAAAGCAGATCCTTTAAATCCTGTAAGTTGCAAGGTGGGGCCTCCATGGATTGGACTTGTTTTTACAGCACATCCCACAGATGCTCAATTGGATTGAGACCTGGAGAATTTGGAGGCCAAGTCAACACCTCAGACTTGCTGTGTTTCTCAAACCATTCTTGAACCATTTTTGCAGTGTGGCAGAGGACAATATCTTGCAGAAAGAGGCCACTGCTATCAGGGAATACTGTTTCCATTAAGGAATGTACTTGGTCAGCAACAAATGTAGGTGATACAAGGTAGGTGATACGTGTCAAATATTATCCACATGATTGGCAGGACCCGAGGTTTCCCAGCAGAAACTTGCCTTGTCTTCTTCCCATACTGCATCGTGGTGCCATCTCTTCTCCAGGTAAAAGATGCACACACACCCAGCCATCCATATGATGTAAAAGAAAATGTGATACATCTAACCAGGCCACCTTCTTCCATTGCTCCATGGTCCAGTTCTGATGCTCATGTGCCACGTGTAGATGTTTTTGGCTGTGGACTTGGTTCATCATGGGCACCCTGACCAGTATGCAGCTACGCAACCCCCATACACAACAAACTGAGATTACCAGTTTTTTGGCTTTCAACACATCAACTTCAGGGATAACATGTTTACTTGCTGCCTAATATATCCCACCGACTTTCAGATACCAATTTAACATGACCATCAATGTTATTCACTTTTACCTGTCAGTGGTTAAAGCCAAGTTATGGCTGATCAGTATATATCTTACATCATGCTCATGTACAGAGTATATAGATACCGTGTAGCCAGGACTTTTGTCTTAGAGTTACTAACTTGGTTTACAAATTGCTGCTGCTAAGTATGGACATGGAGTCATATTCCATGGATTTAGAACAAGCCGAGGGGAATTTATACCTCACGTGATTGCGCTTGCAAGTCATGTGCTTGAGATTTGCTTTTATATACGAGACATTATAATATATATATATATATATATATAAAAAACATACACTGTGGCTATAGAAAAAAATCACCCCCCCCCCCCCTTAAAATAATCACATTTTGTTGCTTTGCAGCCTGAAATGACAGACACAGTTTTTGTTTTTTCCAGCTGCATTTACTCAGTGAAACATATACCAGCCAAGTGAAAGATATAACATCAACATGTAAAAAAAAAAAAAAAATTAAAAACAGAATCGTGCCGTTGGAAAAAAGATCACCCCTCTCCTAAAAATGACTTGTAAACTCAATCAGGTGCAGCTAATCACCTTCTCAATGGTACACAGAGCCATTTAACTTTCAGCTGTAGTCATTTTGACTAGCTCAGCATGAAAAGAGCATTTCAGTCCCTGATAGTGCAACTGAAGCAAACAATCAACTATGGGTGGCAAGGCACTGTCAAAAGGATAAAGTTGTGGACAGACATAAATCAGGAGATGGATACAAAATATTTCCAAAGGCCTAGAAGCAAAGTGAAGTGTATTATTAAGAAGTGGAAGGTATTCGGTATAACACAGACCCTCCCTGGATCAGGACGTCGCTCCAAACTGGATGAAAGAGCCAGGAGGAAACTGTTCAGAGAGGCTACCAAGAGGCCTACAGCAACTCTGAAGCAGTGGCAGGAAATGACGACGAGTGGCCATTGTGGGCATGTGACAATATCACAAATGCGGCTTGTATGGGAGGGTTGCAAGAAACAAGCCGCTCCTCAAGAAAGGCCACATGTAGTCATGACTGAGCTTTACCAACACACACCTTGAAGATTCTGAGGCCACATGGAAAAAGGTGTTATGGTCAGATGAGACTAAAATTTGATTATTTGGCCCAACACTAAATATATATATCTGGCGGAATTCCAATACAGCTCACCATCCATATAACACCATTCCTACAGTAAAGCATGGAGGTGGTAATATCTGGTTATGGGGGGTTTCTCTGCAGCAGGGACTAAAGCATTTGTCAGGATTGAAGGAAAAATGGATGGGGCAAAATACCGTCAAAGTCTTGAGGAAGATCTGCTGCCCTCTGCTAGAAAGTTGTCATTGGGAAGAAGGTTTCCCTATCAATATGACAATGACCCAAAGCTCACAGCAAAAATGACCACACTGTGTTTGAAAAATACAGCTGGATAAAACAAAAACTGTCTGTCTTCATTTCAGGCTGTTCTAAAGGGGGTGATCCTTTTCTATACCCAGTGTGTGTGTATATATTATTTTTTTGAAACATTAATTAAATTTTCTAATAGTCCGGGGTCTGGCTGCGGACCGAGTCACTATCCCATACGGTCCCGCCACTTAGGTGCCCTTTCTTCCCCCAGCATTCTCACAATCATCCGCAGAGAGCTGACATCATTGTACTCCTGGGTGTTGTCTATCAAAAGGGTAAACTTCATGTCTCCATCCCTATCTGTTTTTATTTTTGTTGATTCATTATTGGTTTTAAGGTGGCTGATAGATATGGAAATTATGTACTGAGACTTTTAGGAACCAATCATATTATTGCGTTGCAGTAAATTAAACATTTTACCGCATGGTAATACACAGACTACGTTGTGCTATGGTGACATTCATTTTGAATGGCATTTCAATGCTTTATTACAGTAGAGGGCAACACATCCGTGCTATATTGCACCACAGCTCATGCTGTACACTGTGGTGTGTTGCTTTGCAAAAAAAGGTGCAGGTAGCAAAATAAACTAGAGTTTCAGACTTCTTTTCACATTTTTCCAGGTGTAGAGAGTCAGCCTGGGGCAGGGTTAAGAGAGGGTTAACTGAAGAGGGAAGGTGCTACCTCTTCAGACCTGTTTATTAAAGAGTTCCAGCAGAAAAAAAAAAAATAGAAATCAGCAGCTACAAAAACTGTAACTGCTGACTTTTAAAATAGTCACTTACCTGTCCCTCAGTCCAGCGGTGTCCTCACCACTGCTGGTTTCACTTAACGTCTTCTCTCCCTGGTGCCGGAACCTTCACTGTGGGCACCCGGCAGTGACAGCTTGCAGCTTCACCGCCGGGTGCCCACTGCGCATGCGCAGGAAGAGCTGTGCTTTGTGAATGGCCCCGTAGTCTTCTGGGACCTGCCACGTGTCCCAGAAGACTACAGGGGGAGGATAACTTCTGCTTCCGATCGCCTTAGGCGATCGCAGCAGTAGTGGGAGCGGGTACCTATCGAATTCGGGTACCTGCTCCCCAAAGGTGCTCCAATCCTTAGTGGGGTGCGGGGGACAAAAACTTAAATCGGAACTTCCCCTTTTGGGTGGAGCTCCACTTTAAGCAGCTGGTCAGAAAGGTTGGCTGATGGCAGTTTTGCCATCTGTAGTAAGGAGACCTGGAAGCTGCTGGGAAGTCTCCATATTCTGACTTTGACCTGCTGGGTGAGCTTGCCTGTAACAGAGACTTTGAAATACTGCGTAATCTGTGGCTAGGACGCTGAAAGTTATTCATGTATTCATGTGTGGTATTGATGGGAAGATTTACCTGTTTGGTTGAACTGATTCTGAAGACAAAGAATATAATTTTTCTGTTACGTGGGAAATAAAGCGGATTTTAAGTTTGTTAAACGGTTTCTGAGGAGCCTGTTTACCCCTCTGCTTCCTACACAGGCTATCCTATCTGCTTTTAGAAATATAGGTACGGTATCACCTGCCACTAAACTAATCAAACTACCCTTTCACATACTAGAAAAAAAAAACTTTCACCTTTGAACGTGCAAATAATTGAATAGAAATCTAATATGTACACTAACCTCCACACCATAAACCCAAGTACTAAAACTCAAATAGTTATAAACTGTAAAAAATTCCAAACATAAAGTCCAATGTTCAAAAATTATTATATACGTGTAAAGTCACTCAAAAGTATTGAAATAAAGTCAATGCAACAAAAATGAGTGTCCAAAATCTAACTTGTCAAATCCTTTGGTGCTTAGCCCCTCCACTGGCTCTTAAAGGACAGAAAGCACCTCAAAAAAAGAAAAAACTAAATAGTGCATTACCTTAAACACATCACAAAAATATCATTCCTTTCCCATGAAGATATAACTCAAAATAAAGAACCAAAATTTCATATAATGCAAAATAGTGAACACTGTGCAAGGATAAGTGAGTGCGTCACTCTGTGAATACAGCAAAGACAAGTGACCACAGCAGTGTACACTTCTATGGTGAAAAAGCATATATACTCTTACCAGAACAAAAATAAAAAAGGCCTTAATCATATAGTAGGAATCATCAGCATACTTCCACTCCTTTCCTCCACTCCTGAAGTATACCTCCTAGGATGTTACCCACCATATCCTCCTGGGCATCCTCATGGTTTAAGAAGACATTTCCCAAGACTCCAGAGTGCTCTTGTAATAGAGGTATGAATAGAATATAGTGTAATTCCGTTTTAACGTTTTAGTGTACATATTAGATTTCTGTTTATCTTTATCTGCTTTGCTGATAATAAAAAAAAAAAAAACTTGTTTACAGAGCTGAATAGCTCAAGCAGCAGACTCCTTCCCCTTTCTCTCCATAAAAGGTTTCAATCAGAGAGAGTGGCTACAATAAACAACTTGTGTCTTAAAGTATAAGTAAAAGCAACAAATTGTTTTTTAGTTTTGGATACAGTGGGGATGAATTAGAACACCTATTAGTTTTTTATTGCTGACTGTTAGGGAGATTTACCTTTTTACCATTATCGAAAATAATACCCCAAATTTGTGTTGTCCTCAGCAAAGTAATAGATGGGAAATTTTCCAATGGGAACACAAGTTCTGGTGACCAAGGGTCCCCAAAGAATTTCCTTAATTTGCATTTGTTTTGTAAAGAAGGTAAATCAGGCCCAGCCACTGGGGGCAGGGTGGCGCAAAACCCACGTTTTAAAAGGTGTGTTTTGTAAACAGGTAGGGGGCGCGGCACGACACCGCCCTACCTGTCCCGCTGATCACAGCCGCGGATGTCAGTCGCCGGGTCACAGCCGGTCGTTACCGGCTATGTCCCGGCGATCGCTGACAGAGAGCACAGCTGCAGTAGCTGTGCTTTCTGTCAGTTCCCTGACAGCTCCAAGACAAGCTGATCGGGACAGAAGAGTTTCTCTCTCCCGATCAGCGGTGTCCCGTGCAGTACACCCCTCGCCCCCCTAGTAAAAACACTCCCCTCACACAGTTAACGCTTTCCTCCCCAGTGCCATTAGTACAGTGTCAGTGTTTTTTTTTTTTTGCACTGATCACTGTATTGGTGTCACTGGGGATGTCAGTGACCCCAAGTCAGTACCCCCCAATGTCAGAATGTCCGCCGCAGTCCCACCATAAGTCGCTGATCGCCGCCATAAGTCGCTGATCGCCGCCATTATTAATATAAAAAAAACAAAATCCCAGCATCTTTCCCGCCATTTGTAAACGCTATAACTTTCATGTAAACCAATTAATTTACACGTATTGGGTTTTTTTTTTTTTTTAGCAGAGACATGTCGCAGAATGCATTTTGGCAGAAATTTATGACTAAATTTGATTTTTTAATTTTTTTTTACTGGACATGTTTTATAGCAAAAAGTCCAAAATATTGTTTTTTTTTCCTCAAAATTGTCAGCCTTTTTTTTTTTATAGCGCAAAAAATAAAAAACCGCACAGGCGATCAAATACCACTGAAAGAAAGCTCAATTTGTGGGGAAAAAAAAAAAGGATGTAAATTTCATTTATGTACCGTATTGCATGACCGCTCAATTCTCTGTTAAACTAGCGCAGTGCTGTATAGCAAAAATTGGCGTAAATTGCAGTATCTATACCATAGTTTGTAGACGCTATAACTTTCACACAAAGCAATCAATATACACTTATTGGGATTTTTTTACCAAAAACATGTAGCAGAATACATTTTGGACTAAATTTATAACCAACTTTGAGTTTACTATATATTTTTTATAGCTGAAAGTAAAAAATATTGTTTTTCTTCAAAATGTTGGGCCTTTTTTTGTTTTATAGCGTGAAAAATAAAAAGCGCATGTGATTAAATACCACTGACCAAAGGACGTAAATTTCGTTTGGGTGTATAGCATTGCATGACCGCGCAATTATCAGTTGAATTAGTGCAGCGCCGAGTAGCAAAAAGAGGCCTGGTCATTAAGGGGGGTAAATCCTCAGGAGGGCAAGTGGTTAATGGGACACAGATGGCAAAAATAAACTAACAGTGACTATACCCTCCCTCATTTTATCCAAAATGCAAAACAAATTTTGCCTGTAGTTTTTAAAATAACCCACAGTGCTCTGGGAATCCTGGGTCATGCTGTACCCTGTATAACATTTTTATTTATAAAACAAAGATTGTATAAATAAAATGTTAAATATATCAATTTAAATAATTTTCTACATAAAAAAAAGATACTGAACCATGATTATGTGAGTAATGTGAATAAGGTATCTTTACACAATGCTGAAATTTGAAATCGATAAAAAGGGCATGGGTTACAAGACTAGCTGCAGAGATTACAAGCAGCAAAAAGACTTTGAACTCTCAGGTCTAGTCCAGTTCTGAGTGAGATGGGCAGTCTGCCTGTCTATGAACTCACTTTTCCTGCTCAGAAAAAAGAAAGGGTTGGAGTCCACTGGCACAATAATTTTTTTCTACAGGTTTTATTGGATTTAAAAAATTCCAATGTGAAAGACATTTTGCATTTCAACAATCAAAAGCATTGATTATTGCTACTCAGGGAAACCTTTATTCCCCAGTCCCTTCCCAGTCATCACAAATATTGCTCTACTTGGACAGTGTATACTGTAACTTACATTTTTTTAACAAGTAACTTAAAGTGGTTTTGAATGCTGAAGTTTTTTAGCTTCATGCAGTGGGAGCGGGTAGCTGTCAAATTCAGGTACCCACTCCCCAAAGGTCCCAATCCTTAATGGGGAGCGGAGGACAAAGCATTAAAGCGGAACTTCCCCTTTTGGGTGGAGCTCCACTTTAACGTCTTAGTGTCTGAAGGTAAAAGAAATCTTAACACCTGAACACAGTTTTGCAACTTTGTACATTCCATAACTACTACTTAGTGAACCCAGGTGAATTATACCGTTTTTTCAGAATACATTTCAGCTTTCATTTGGTAAATGGTAATAGATGAATGATTTTTTTTTTTTTTTAATTGAAGGCCCAAAATAGTAAAAAAAAAACAATGTTTTTTTAAATTATATAGTTATATATTTTTTGCTATTACCATGACCTACTACATGCAAAAAAAAAAAAATTAAATACATTTTCCTACTCTTGATGTTGTTTGGCCAAGGTAGGGCCAAGAAGCAATAGTGCACATTTTTTTTGCCTGCGTAAAAACGTACTGACCCTCACTTTGACCCCGACAATAGCCTAGATCAGGGGTTTCTAAACTTTCTAAGCAAAGGGACAGTTTACTGACTTTCTGACTTTAGGAGGGCCAGACTGTGGCCACTGGGAGTAGAATAGGTACATACATTAGTGGGAAAAAACAAAACAATGCCCCATCATTGGTGTCAGTGGGAGGAATTGTGACACATCGTTGGTGTCATTGGGCCCCACTGTTGGTGTACATATGAAAATAGTGCCCCATTATAGGTGTCATTGGGAGGAATTGTGTCCCATCATTGATGTCATTGGGCCCCATTAGTGGTGTCACCGGAATAAACTGTGTCCCATCATTGGTGTCATTGGGTCCTATTGTTGGTCTCACTGGGAGGAACATTGGTGTCCTTGGGCTTCTTTATTGGTATCAATGGGAGGAATTGTGCTCCTTCACTGGTGTTAACGAGGGGAATTATACCCCATTGTTGGTATCAGTGGAAGAAATAGTGCCCAAAGAGTAGATAAAAGCAATCAAAGGGCCGCTTTTGGCCCCTGGGTCGCAGTTTGGAGACCACTGACCTAGATCAAGCGCTATTATTTTATCATTTTTTTTTTTTCAATTTTCTTCTCTGGCTAGGAGAAAAAGATTGCAGAAAGAGTACAGGGGCGAGTTCCCTATTACAGCCAATCACGGGCTATCACAGCAATCATGTGACAGTTCGATCTCACTGCTGGGAGTGCACTATGGAGCGTGCTTCCATCACAAAAAACCAGTGCATGTATATGCAACATCTCAGAAGAAGGTCCACTTTGGCGATGCTGCATATATCTGTGTCACTAGCGGGGTTTTTTTTTACAGTACAACCTCTCTCATTT